TATCTGCTTATCTTGTAGAGACTGAAAAATAAAACGATCTTTGATTGTATGTCCTACCAATTCGTAGCCGTTGTTTGAAAAAAAAACACTAAAAAGGGTTGTGTCGCCTGATCACGATGGAGTCCATAAAAAAGTTCTTAATATTTTTGCAGAAAACATTTTTCAGTCAGCCTACGCGCAAAACCGTTTCAGGTTACTATAGCTATGTTTAGGATGTCGGAAATGTATCGTTACATATATACATTTATGCCTTAGGAGAGATACTGATCTAAAAGGTTTAGTTTGGCCACACCCGTCAATTTTCTAGGCCGATTTTTATTCAAATGTTAGGCACGCATATTTTTCACTAAGTGCTGCACAGCTCTGTTAGAGGGATTTGCCATAATCTCATGTCACGTTGACGCTGTTTAGAAATCTGGTACTCCTTTATTCCGCGCCGCCGCTGCCGTCCATGACGACCACGACCTTCGACTGTCTTTCAAGTAACGATCGGCCTCGGCGAAACTACACACCTGTTCTCCAGCTGTGGCTCGAGCCACGCTGATCCTTTTTACGGGCCGTAGGCCTTGTGTGGTTAGGTTGAGCGCTATCAGGCTAGGGATACAGGATATATAAATTGATCTTGATTGGAAAATTCTCTGCTTTATTCACATGTCAAACAAGATTTTATGAGTCACCCTTGATGGCTATTATGATTAATTAACACACGAAAATAAGCATCGTCGATAAATATTGCTTTGTAATGAACTGAATTTAGCTTATATTCTTCACACTTCGTTTTCCTTTCAGACGAAACAACATAAAATTCCCCTAATAATGACATCCTATTAAGCTGTGGATGCAACCCGTCGAGGTGTTTTGTGAAGAGGAACTGAGGATCCGCGGTACATTTGGCCAACGTATTTATTTCATTTGGATGTTAACTATTGTCGACCATTGATGACCAATATGTTTGATTTGTTTTCTGTCAGAATGAGATACTGAACCACACTACCAATGAAGTTCATCGACTAAATTGTATAACCCCGCTTACGGATACATATGCCACGGTTGTTCGAAGCTTTAGCCATAATCGTTTCACCGCAATCGCAGCCGAAATCGGTCTGGTTCACGGCTTAACGCGAAGGCTTGCATTCGGTTGAACATGTTTAATATGTAGGATTATAGTGTAGTACTGGCTATTTGACATTACAGTCTACAAGATCTAAATGATGCGATGAAATCAGTTCCATCATATGAAAACGGTTTAACAGTGAAGTAAGCTTCTAGTGTTTATCAGAGGCAATGCTTCATGAGAAACGTAGTTATATAATAACTGAAGTCTTCTCTAATACCTATCATAGATACGCAGCATAATCTCGACGGTCCTATTTATTATAGAAGGATTAAATTAAGATGAAAACATCGAAGCTCCTAGGTCTTGTCGATATCAGGTTAAATCGTAATATTGACCTGGTGAACCTATCGGTAACGTGTTTTCATGCTCGATTAACCTTCAGCGTAATTTATTCGATTTTGGATCGAGTTTGCATCGAACGACACAACTTACTATTAAACCGTACACAAATATATCTGTACGCTGTACTTCCGGTGTACGTCTGTGCGGAGTTGTTACATTCGTGGACAAAGTGCACTGAGGTCTCTTAACAAAACAAGTCTTGTTTATACAGCCCCTGGAACAGGCAAAGGTCCAGACGATTGTATTGTTCAGGATTGCAGTACCGTGGAGTTGCCCAAGGCTACGTCAGCCTACCGATAGACGTTTTCCGTCGCTCGCTTGTGTTTATTCAGGCGTATTTACGGGTGAAAGGATGAAGCCGAAACTGAAGGGAAACATACCTTACAAACTTGCTCTGAGTCTTTCGCGAAGCGGCAGGACCATCGGTAAGCAGGGCTGTACGGTCGGCCGTTGTTAAAGATCCGTGGCTACCAGGAAACTATTACGAAGCACCGGATATTGCATTGTCTTCTATGGATATATCTGAAATAACGTGGCCGTGAGTGAGCACTAAGTTCAGAAAAAAAAAAAAACACTTTCACCGTCGAAAAATGCTTAGTCTATGCACGGAGACTGACGCATCTTACAATTGCCTTTGAACAACGACCGCTACTATAGCTAGAGAGTGTATAATGCGATGTCTTTTAAGGGTCTTCACACGGACACCGCTACTTTATCTATTTGATATGGACGTTGAATGTAGTTAAATAATTGCATACGAAATTAGTTCATTTCCGTGTAATAGCTATAAGCTACTAGTAATAATGCTAGTTGAACATATCGCTCTCGTACAAAAGCCCATTTCGCCACTCGGAACAAGGATTAATGATAACGGACGACTGGTGGTAAGTACAAAATTGAGGAATCAGGGTCGGTAAAGTCTGATTAGACGAAATCATGTCCCCGCGATAGCCTACTAGATAACGTATAATAGTACGGACACGTTAGTGGTCCAGGTTCGAATCCGAACATAAGTACTGTTTGGTCCGTGCTAAGAGCAACCCGTCTGAGTTCATTTTTAATGCCAGTGCCCGACGTAAAACTCTCACGTTACTTTAGTGTTTAATAATTCTAGATACAAAAAAGTGAAACGCTACTCTTCGGAAAGAAAATTCAACAAATAATACTGGTACGCTAATGCATGTTTGAAATCGGTTAGTCTCTTTACCTCTGGCATTAGAAACCTCGTAAACTTCCAGATTTCTCCAGTGCAAAAGTGGTCCGTCCCTAAACTGAAATCGAGGGTATAACACAATCAAGATGAGGGTACTGAAATCGCGGTCTGTGTGAGTACTTTATCTAGGTTAGAAAGGTAAAATAATTAAGGTTAAGTTGATTTGAATTTATTTCAAGGTCATTGTAAACTATTTTTTTTTGCTCGTCGTTATTAAGGTTCTGATGAAACCCCTATCATCCAGTCATGATTCTGTCTGTATGCGCATATACATGTATATATGTTTTCTAAGTAACGCTGCGCTTCTAAGCGCCTTCAGGAAGCGAAGAACTAAAATGCAGTTATCTTAGCCGCGTCTGACCTCATCGTACAGACCAGTTATTCATAGGGCTCTTCATACATCTACCGGATCTTTTTGCACGCATACGTATTTCTGGCAAAGATAAACGATTTTTCCTAGTGTATGAAGCTATCAAAAAAACGAACCTGAAGTTATTTGCCCCCGATTAACTAAGCGACAAAATATATTTCGCAGCCGTTTATTACCGCGCTGTGTGGCCCATACGAGAGCAACGGTAATACCAGTATATGCGCCAGCTCTATAAAAATCGCTTCATAAATTGATTGAAACAGATGAATTGGGTTTAAGGTTCGTTGCATAGAGTAAATTATCAACTTTAGACCACATTTGCTATAGATAAGCGTGTCGAGAATGTATTTTGAAGCTCTGGAATCTAAAAGTTAATCCTTCAAGCATCATAGCCGGGACAAAGCTTGCTCCAGCATAATTTGTACCAGGAAACGAACTCAGATTGTTGCATTTTAGGAACTGGCCTCAACCGGAGAAATGAACGACTAGCGTGAGGTAAGGAAAGAACTGTCGCTCATATATAGATACATGCAAAGCACGCGCGTGCGACAACCCCGGCACGGACTTTTGTTGATGATAGATGAAGCAAATTAACATGAAATTGTTAGAAGAACACTTTTACTCAGCTGCGCTGAATTTTTTCCAACGCATTTCTGTTTTGGCTGTAGCTTGAACCGTCGACGACGCCCGCCTACAGGTATTATTCATCACTAGCTACTATCATGCTGGTGAGCCATTTGTGTTTTGACGAACAGACAATCCAGCAAAGTGTTTCATTCCTGTATTGTAGGGATGCTTCATACTATTGTACAATATGTTGATCAATGAGCAGTTTTCCTTTTATAAGGCATCATATGTTAAAGGCGCACCGAAGAGTTAAGACTGCTGTTCCAATTACCTAAAGCTCAGTCGATTCTCTGTTCAGAGAGATCACATTAAAATAACATCGAATGGAGCTCGTCAAAACATTTCATTCTGATGACTTCAGGAAGAAGCAAATCAAATGCGTTCTTCGTCATGTACCCGTTGCAGACCCACCAGAGCAATGTTCGCTGTTCCTGCATGCGTCTACCCGTTTCATAATAAGTTGAGCGGCAATGGCTGTGCTATTGTTTGCCTCGGTACAGAAAGAATGCCTTATGTCATAAGCAACCCACAGCCCGCTGCACCCTGAGCTCCAATAGGATTTATGCGCTCTGTAGTAATCACAAGGATAATGCAGGCAAAATATCGCAGCAAGTTTCTTCGAAGCTGGAGTTTAGGTAGATAGCTAAATAAGCAAGTAAGACTATTCTATAGACTTTCCCCAACATGGGTCGCTCAGTTCTTCGGTCCATAAAAACATCCTCTGTACTACGCTAGTCGATTGCTAATTAGGCCACTTTCTTACGATGCAACTATCATTTTAATAGTGAAATACTGTTCTATGAGTATGTACTTTTCGATTAGCGAAAGCATATTAATAGAACAGGCTGACATATATGTACAGAAAGGTCGGCGTCATACTTTTAAACACAGCGGTAAAATCTGCATGGAATCAAGTACGTATATAGCTTCGCTGCCAGTTATCAGATGTATCATACGATGTATGCAACTGCCTGGTCAGATCGATACGTATGTGTCAGAGCAGGCTTTACCAACAAGGACTGATGCAGACGTGCTAATACGGCGACCTTTATTCACTCAGCTTCCACTTGAATGAATTCGTAAAAGCCCAACGCATGTTACAGCATATCTTCGTATCTTACATAACGTGCGCGCTAAGAATCTTTTTAATTAAACTAACACAGGTCACAGCTTGCAGTAAGGTGAAGTGCACAAGTGTACGATGGGTACGTGCGTGCATTGAACGCAGACTGCGGTGTGCGATTTTATTCATGTTTCGGGGAAACAGTCGCGCCCTAATGGGAATTGTTATTTCGGCTGGGTATCAAGATGTTCAGTACTATTGGCACTTGTGCCAAATACGTGATCGTAATTCAAGTATATGTACGGCTATACTACTATAGTGTATTGGCACCTGACCGTCAAGGAAGTATTCTCTAGTAGATGTTATAATCGTTCATAACTGTGGCAGTTGTTGAAGCCATTATGGTGTTAATAACGAGTGAAGGAAAAAAAGCCAGACTAACTGCAGAATCGTATAAAAAAAAATGACGTTTGCCGACATCACTTGAATCAATGCTATCAAAGGTGTCCGTTGTTGACGATTCATAAGAGACTGGTAAACGGGTTGCCATTTTACTATTAGCTGGAGGCTTGTTTGGTTCTTGCGTGACTTATATTACCTGCATGTCTAACTGAGTGCGCGTCAACAAAGAATAACTAGCCACGAGTTAGAACAAGTGAGATACTGCAACGTATACTTAACCTGCGGTTTTGATTCCATTCTAACTTTCATAGTTGCTTAGTCGATTTATCAGCAAGAGCAGTGTCTCACCTTCGTTCACAGTTAAATTGAGCCAGACATAAGAAACATTGTCTTCATTCTCAATCTATTTAAGGAATTTATCCACGGAGAGCCCGTCTCGGACGTGACCTCTTCGACCTTATTGTGGAACGCTCGAGATATTTCAACTTCGAGGAACGGATACCAACTGAGAGCTTCATGAAGGTGAGCCTAACAGTTAACATGAGGTAAGCCAGTTAGAGACGACTAGCCTCTGTACCTTGAACGTTAACACGAAGATCATTTTAAGAGAAAGTGCCATTTTTTAGGCGGACCCTTAAGGGGAACAAAAAAGATGAAATGTTCGTGTAACTATGCCGCTTACTCTGTGCCCGAATCTAGCCTACTACAATAATTTATCATAATAATTAATATTGCTCTTATTGTATAACAATAGTAAACATGTGCTGCGTCGAAAACATCTCGACCAGTTTGCTCTAAGTCGACCTACGCTTTTATCTTTCAGCGCGTTTCACACAATTTGTCCATAATAAATATTTAAAGATGTAGCACCGTATGAACCAAATAAAATAATAGACGAAAAAAGTATCAAAGTTTGATGTTTCTCTTGATTGTTTCTAAATTGATCTCAAATTATTCTACATTGTTTTTTTTTTTTTGTTTCTAATTATCATTCTGTCAACCACCTTTCGTTCAGTACACAGAAAGTAATTTTAATAGAAGGAAGCCATTATGTAGCCGCTGTGACTTCAAGGGAAATATAATGGTCACACTGCATTGTGCACGAAATAGACTGCACACAATAGGTTTTGAGCCTCAATGATGGCATCCATAGTTCAAATTGTAGATTTTCACTGTTTGATTTTGCCAATGTAATATAGTTAACATAGTATAGCATTCTCCAAGGCCTCATGCCGAAGGCGCGTAAAGACGCACTGAAAATTGTATAGTAATAGAATTGACGTTCTCAATAAAGTCCAATTTGTCAGCTACATCCTGTAGGCTATGGCCGTAGGTTATGGGATGAGTTCCCGATTTCCATGTTTCGAGGCATACGTCGGGCACAACCAATAGGAAAGAGTTTCATCAAACGGCTGGCTTCCAGCACGAAACAAACTATGTTTATTCCCAAATTCGGACCTCTCTACGTTACTCACCACGCTATCATAGGGACGAGTTTCCTACCTTAGCCAGCATAAACGTACTATACAACATTTACGCTTGTTGTGATAGAAAATTATGTAATCCTGATATTTGTTTACTGCTGTCGTGGAAACTAATCGAATGGTAAAGATGTCTGTCGTTCATTTACCGGGACAGGAATCTGTGATAGGTTCTACAAGAAATGCAGTAGCTACAGATGTGCATTTCTCAATGACTAGAATATCTTCGTAAGCGTCTACATTTAGAAGAAATTCAGCTTTCTAAAGGACTACATAATCATCTGTTTTATACTCGACTCCAAAAAGCTGGCATTTGTTATTTGAAATCTTCCTCAACACGTTGCCTACACAACGCTAAACCCAATAATCGACTGACTAGGAAGCTCCAATGTTGACTGTGCTCGTATAGATTTCGTATGGGATTAATAGTATTGTACATTTGAGGAGTAATGCAAATCTTTTGTGGTCAGGATGCAAGAGACTAAAAATCCAGTTTTTAGAAGGTAATAGTCTTAGCTAACGCCAATAGATTTTTTTTTTTTTTGTTATTATTATTTTATTATAAAAAGATGTTGCTAGCTTAATCTATGTCAAAATCTTATAAGTAGACGAATACAGGATACTGCTGTTCATTCGCAAAGTTATTGCCAAAAGAGTTGCTTAAAGGCAGATCAATACTGGAAAAGTCATTAGCATAGATAGGTCCTGCGTTTCATTAAATTTATATTTGACCACAGATATTGAATGAGGGCAAAGATGCCCTGACAGGCCAGTGAGCTTTATTTTGCGCATAATAACCAAAGCACGATGTAACTGCATGTCGCAATCGGAGGCCGATCCAACAGAGTCGACCTTTTAGTTTTTCGTTTCCTATCTCTGCTTCGAACTTCTCTAAGCCATTTGCCCAGAATTAGGATAGATACTATGACTAAACTGTATATCTATTCCTATTCCTTCCACACAGTGAATCTTACGAGAAGATACGTCCATTTCAGAATCTCGCCTGACCGGCTTTCTTAGATCATCGTCCGGCAGAGATCGAATGCATCTCCGTTGTTGTCAGTTACTTCTTTCGATGAACGGCAGAAAAAACAACTCAAGACCCCAAAAACGGGAAAATCCAGTGGGGAGACTTCCTTTCAAATATTTCAGATCTACAGTCCACAACAGCTAATCACATTCATCGCCTCATGCTATCTATACTATTGGGAGCTAGTAGGCTTTTATTATGTACAAGAATCTATACGGCAATAACAGTACCTGCTTATACTGTATGGACCCGTTCTATTGCACGGTGATGTAGCCGTTGTATTGGACGTAGTTCAGCCAGGTCCTTCTTAAGGCCGTTTTCTAGACGCAGGCCATTTTTGCAACAGGCAAACGCAAGCAGTCCGACTAGCAGGGAATGCTCTAGGCCCATTTCGTGCAGCCAGACAAAAGTGCGCTCCCATAGTCCCCATAAAAGCCATTCTCATGAGGTATATAAAGGCCTTGGCGTTCCGAATTAGCTGGTCGGCCGACAGAGAAAAGCTGGCAGTCTGCTCCCATCTAGTGACGAAGACAGATCGTACACCTAGTAACAGGGCCTTACCGTACCGAAAATGCTATCAAAATGTCTACCATTACTTATCCACGAACTCCCCGTTTTGCGATTCGTGTGTCGATAGGGACTCAAGAGAATTCTGTTGTCGGATACCGTATCACTGGATTGTTTATACTTTGTATTCGCTGTCTCACGAATCCACACGTATATACACCACGTTTACGAAGTTCCATGTCGGTATAACAAGTTCCGAGGCTGCCTGGCAACGACGGTATCGCAGCCAATGTAGAAAGCACATTATAGTTAAGCGCCCACGGGCGACCATTCACAGTCATTCATTCGGATATAAACTCACTCTGAAACATGGCGACTGTGAAAGGCTGTATAGTGTCTCACAGTAGATGGGCGAACTCGAGCGTACCGCAAGTCTTGCGACATGAAGTACTGTTAGATGGAAGAGTTCGCTTAAGGCTTAGGTGACGAGAAATGAAAGATTGTGGAAAATCGAGGGAGGTCGATTCAAAAATCAATTCTACGTAAGTTGTGATTGTTGGAAACGTTGTTGAGAGCAAGTAGGGTCAATATTATGATAAACTGCAATAGGCGTAGGGAGTGGGGACCGGCACGATTGCTTGAGGGAGAGAGTACATTCAGCTTTCGGTAGCTGGCTGCTACCGTATCAACCGTACATCGAAAACAGGAGTTCATAATCTAGCTAAACGATTCTCGGATACGAACATGAAACGGGGTCTTTTGTCCCTACTTGAAATGTCCGGCCATAATATTCACACCCATTCAACCCTTGTTTTAATGTACCTTCATTAGCTGAATTAAACACGTATAGTGTCATAACATCCAATTCCAATGAGCAAAATTACGCTTGTGTCAACCAATATCGCTGTACACACAGGCGACTTATACACACCAGCATCGTCAAACAATTATACATGTCCTGCGCAATATTCATATAAAGGGACTGCATTTGGGTAAAGGCAGCCCCTACAAGTTTTACCTAAGCCGGAAACATTTCACGTTTCTCATCAAAATATCGTAGCTGTTGGTGTCTACGTCCTGTCTTGTCGGGCTGCTATACGATCTTTCGTCCTATCGAACATTTCGGGATTATGTCTTTTCCTTTAGACTGTGATTTGCACCCGAATCGATCAGACGTCGCCCGTTCAGGCGCTGTTTGATCAACGTGGATTCGACTCCTTGCGCAGTTACTGTTGCAGCCTCCGCTGCCTGTCAAAATAATCCGCGATGTTGTTTCTCTTAAGCAGCCTCATCTCCGTCGTTTGGACTACGGCTGTTTTCTTCCAGCTGATGGCTCTGCGCGCCTCGAAGGGTCCTTCCCTTATCTATTTCAAAACACTCTCGTCGGCCATGTTACTTGAAGCGCTAATCATCACTGAATGCTTCCACAGAAGTTGTCCTAAATGTCACTTTTAAGTATCCACGAAGTACCTTCCGCTCAACATTTCATTGTTCTTCACTAAAACTAGCAAAAATTACTCCTGATGTATTGCCATGTTCGTGATCTGACTCAGATAGTTGGCTTGTTTGGGGCGCCACGCGTGATCAGAAGACTTGTGATAGAGTTGAAATCAGTTGTTTTTATGATGTGAGTCAGCGTGTTACTGTAGCTGCCTAGCCTTTGTTCTTTAGGGGTTAGTTTTTTCATTTAGTATTTATTTGCTGTGTTTCATTGCGAACGAAGTCTCGCATGCATCCTATACGATCTGTTTGGCACCTCAATTAATCCCGTTCAAACAAGGATAAGTGTGCATATAGATGCGGAACACATTTCTTTACGACAGCAGGCACGGCATTATCGGTAAAGCCGTATGGAACGAGCCTTACGGTCCGCCCGTATGCGTAGCCATATTGAGAACTTTTAACCAGAAGGTCGCCTCGTAGTTATATCCCTTCACGCGAGTGCTTCTCGGTATTTTATTCTTTCCCGTACTGTTCTACCGAACGATATTTCGCACTGGCTTTTAGTTCAACATAGGATAGCGACAAAAGAGATATCGCTATTTAAGTAAGGCAAATGCTGCCCGGTTCAACCTAAACATGCGCGTGCTACATTAAAGCCATCAAATGAGGATCACTATCCGCTTTAAACCGAAATCTGACGTTGAAATGACATATAAAAGGATCCCTAATACAACTTAATGAACGCCTAATGTCCGAAAACTATTAGTCTGAGAAATAATCAGGGCTCCCGCGTTTCTGCCTGGACCTGCCCAAATCCTTAACTCAATGTTCACGTGAGAGTGACATCACTAGTTGACTAAAGAGGAAGAGAATCGAGAAAAGAATGCCTCTTTCGGGCATCTTTTGCTGATTGCGGTTTGATTTCTGGGTTTTAAAATGGGTTTTACAACAGAGCTGGCTACGGCATTGCTTTTGAACTGAATCTCTTTCATTGATATACCGCTTACTGAGTGAACGCCCAGAAACGTTCGACTGGCCAGTATAGAGGGGTAAGCATTATAGAAGATCTTGTAAACTTGTTCGCAAAACACATGCCATTCTGTATTGGATTGCACATGCGCTGTTCTACACAACTATGCCTTCAAAGCAAATGTATAAAGAAATACATACATATATAAATTACAATTAATCTGATTGTAATATGAAGAACCTTACTATCTACTAGCCAAGATAGCGTCATAGGGAAATGCTGTCTCGATATTATTGAAAGTGTGCATTGCACGACAACGTACAATCTTCGCCACGCTTTAACAGTGGCGTGGATCGAAGAGGATTAAATCGAATGATGGCTTTGGCCTTAGTATTCTCAAGAGTAAAGTCTGTGTAGCTTCTATTGTGCTCAAGAAGGCGACAAATAGCTTGGCGTATTAAATTTCGAACAAGTTACTCAGACAACCGTGCTATTATTGCGCTGATAATAAATACAAATGAAATCAATGAGACGGGTTTACAACCCGGACTCAATATCGGACAGTTTTCGAATAGTTCATCATTTGTATATATAAGTTTAAAAACTGTTTCCCTGTAAAAAAATAACAGAATAAATAACAGATTTTGCATGTGTCAAAGCATCCGGCCTAACAATCAGACGCCGTTGGCTGCTATCCGTATTTCCAATGTAGCAAAACTGGTTTTTTCACACTGCTGAATTGGCAAGCAGGTGGGGTCATTGGAAGCGGCACTTCTGATCAATCAGGAACCTAAAGTCATGGTAGTAATACAACGCCATAAGATATCGATATCCAAAGAACCAATGTCAGAAGTATTTGAACCTTCGTCGAAAAATACATCTATGCATACAGGCCAAGGGTAAAGTGGATGTTTCCTCGCTGCTCTTATGTTTTGGGTTGGTACGAGAAACGATGATGCCGATATATGCTAACATAGAGTGTTGAGATGCAACTCACAGGATGACACGGCTGAGCTAGAACGAAAGACATAATACTGACAACCAATATTTCATCTAGCTACAACAGTCTTCCGAGGTAGATGAGCGCATTTTCCAAATTGCTCGCTTGAATTAGAAACTTTCTTTTGACATTTTCGTATAAAAATGCTGCTACTGTCTACATCTAATGCAGAGCGCGTTGTGTCGAATAGCGTCCTATAGTGTCGAATAATCTTATAAGACAAACTGTACAAAAAAGATCTACGGGTGGAAGAGTAACCCTTAGAGGTTGGATAGCCTAAACCTTCTAGCTGTTGTTGATCGAATGCTGAACTAAGGTCGCCAACTAAATGCTGGGTGGGGTAAGCCCACAAAACTTACAGATGCTATATAGCCGGCCCAATGGCGTAGTTGTTTTTTGGAGAACCCCGCACAAACTTGAAAATATGTAAATACCGATTCCTCCTAGCAACGTTCAACGGCTCGCCAATAGGCAAAATCGAACTGGTTTTGCCGATTATTTGCATTCAAGTTAAGGTTGGTCTCTACCAGCTAGCGTGGATTAATAAAGCCCAAAATCTAACAATGTTTGGCGGATGGCCGATCGGCTGGGTGGTTCACTCGCCCGCTCGTTTAGTGCTAGCGGATATGGAGAACGTCAAAGGAGCTTCGCTGTGTTCCTAGCGGCCAAGGCGCATTCCCATAAGAGCCCCACAGTGACAACACGGCGAAACTGTTAAGCTAATAGCCAGCTGCATATGCTAACGTTCCTGTTAATGCTGCTGAGATATCAGATGGTTTATTCGTCGAGTTCAGGCTCAAGTCACCTGACTCGAGACGTGGGCTACATGACGCCTATGCACATGCGCTAGCAATGCCAGTTAGAGCGAACCCCCTGCTCGGTCTAAGAGGTAGGATTTGGTGGTTGATGCGGCCGCCCCCCTCGTTGTTGATCACGCTGAGTGGAAGCAGGGCAACAGCTGCTTTAGACGGTAGTATCAGCATAGAAGACACAGCATGAAGACGGTGGTGGGTTGCGCACATATTAAGTAGATCATCAGATCAGATCAAGTGATCGCGGAGAAATTCTGAAAGACGTTTGAACATATAGTCGGACAGAAGAGGATTTTAGTTTATACGGCTGCATTAGAAACGCAATCATGCTAAAATGCGTTTTAATGAAAAAAATCCGGAATTAACAATGCTTGCTTAGTCCGATTTTGTCTGCTTTGCTTGTATGCTAACTCTACCTTGAAAATAGACACGCTTCCCGAATAATATTCTATGTACGGAAAACGCATACATAGTAATTTCGATTTTTCCGTCTGATGCTGGTACCGTTTCAGACGGCTGGCACGTCCAGGCTCGGAACCGAGTTCGCTTGTCTACGCCCGATTTCAGACCTAGGCCAACCCATTAATTGCTTTGAACCTTATTACTGGATCATCACCTCAAACATTTTGCATTCGTATCACATTTTATCTTGCCACTGTTTCAATAAGTCATGTTGAAGGAAATAGGTCTAAAGCAAGTGCGGCACATTTTCAATTCATTCACAATCACTATGCGCCATTTGAGTGACAAACCTGCCTATAAGGCTGTCGAGTTTTTTTATAATGTTAAGCAAAAAAAATTAATCAAATTTCAATTATTTTGCTTATCTTATTTTTTATGTTTTCTATAATGCTATATTGCGAGTTCAACAGAGACGTTTTTTAAGAGTTGAAAAATTGTTTCAGTATGATGCTTCTGTTCCGTTGTACTCGTCATTTTATAAAATGTAGACCTCACCCTCGACTCATCGGTAACATTTTGCTTTCTAGATTCTAGTGAGACATTGTACGCCAAATTAGATTACCCTCCTGGATTCTATGTGTTTTGAGCTTCGACCGGCAACGGGTATAGCTGAGCAACTACTAGCATATTAATCTATCCTGTTTTCCTTTCTCTTATGCAGTTTCCTTGTAAGTTAAAACGCTGGTGTAGGATCGTAACATCCTTAACATTGATGCCCCTCGTCTGAGCCGATTCAGCGAATTTTTTTTCGACTTCCAGGGGAAAAGGACAAACTAAAGACGTTTTAGCTACCACCTAATGGTACAGCTAGCTGTCCTACAACTGGTTGATTTGTTTCGAAGCTGGTCCATTCAAAATCCCTATTCCCACTTCGTTTTACTCGCCCAATTACAGCGTAGCGGGCAGGGTTTCTGACTAACAGAGTGAGTTCCACACCGATTTCCTGGTATCTCTCTTTCCCCTAGCCTGAGTCACTCGACCCTAATAATCGCGCACGCCCGATTACAAACATCTCAGAGGTGTACGTGCTGCTTGACTATGGACATATCGTCTTTCCTGGCGCGACATGTGGCCTACAAGTGGGGCAGAATCCAAATACCCAAAGAATACTAATATCACACTTATGCTGCCTCTCACAGAGCAAACTACTGGCAACTATGGGTTTACGTGACATTTCTACAACTGCTTACATCATCTGCTTAATCATAATATGCTTTAAGCACAGCCTCGTTTTCATGTCCTCTCGTTTTGTTAACGCTGCTGATGTTCAATCGATCGCCAGCAACTCCCTGATTCGTCGGTAATTCCTCTCCCCTGAGTTTTCAATCTTTCTGTCTACCTTTCCCCGCTGGTAGAAAATAAAAATACTGTTGAACCACTAACATTAATATAATCTCGTGGTCGACAGAAATCTCCGATTTTCTCCGTATCGTCTTGCCTTGGACGGGGCTCTTGTTTTTAGCTCGTAGAAAATATCATCGAGAGAGGCGTTTAGCTGATGCTGACCATAATCATTATGTGTTGCGGCGTAAAGCGGGATAGCAGAAACTCTATCTGTAATGATCGGAAAATCATTGGAATATTTATTTTTTTGTTGAAAATACTTCAATCGTTGCGCTTCAAGTATGAAGGATCTGTATAAAAATTGGGGAAACTTAAAATCCGATAAGATTCGTGCATGCTTGCTAACCGCGTTACTGGTGTGGAGAGGTGGACGCAGAGCGCAGGCCCAATGGCAGAATATCACATGCACGCACAGAGATAGTTACTCTAAATTAGGTTCCAAGTTAATTTATGCGTGCGCATATTATTAAAAGTCGAACTGACTCAATCCAGGCTTCATTCGTGCTCAGATGCGAAAATCCTGGTGCGGAAGACCAGTAGCAACGGTAACCGCAGAACTATATGGAACGCTAATCTTGCTAATTATTATGTAGCCTATCATTTGGTTAATCAGCTCTTTTAGAATGTCCGAGGCATGCTTGTCTTGATATGTTCAATAGTAGATTGGCCTGTACGTTTTTTTTAATGGACTAACTCCGATAGCTCGATGAGCTAAACATGGTGACTCGGCACCTGCGAACAATAACGAGCATCCTTCATTCTTCTGCGTAAAGCTTCCTGTGCAATTACGTCGGCGTATTTTACAGCTATGGTCGACGGGACGTTTGCGTCCTTTTCATGGATCATGCCATTTCAGGAATTAGGTGAAAATTGGGTCAGCTTAAGCTAAAGCAGTAGTAGGTTACGACTACTGAACACTGAATAAACGATTTTGAAATAACGTCGTTTTAGCAGAGAAAATTAATTATCAACAAACATTTGTATACAGCAATAATTGTATATGGAATACCGAAAATCATATCGAATTTAAAATAAAAGCTTTGCAGCCGATGCATAATCATCTAGGTAAGTCGGATCCGCTTGTATCATGCGTCCTGTTTTACCAGTACACAAACCTGTTTGCACACAACCGAAAAAAATATAAGCCTGGTCTCTAAGGTGGAAAAATAGGTTGACCGCAATGTTGATGGCCAGTTCCTTCTATAATATCAGTGACCGTGAGGCGCGTGACAAAGCTTGCCCGCGTTGCCAAGTGCAGAGAATGAAGAGGCAATCACCACGCCGACCTTTTGTTTGTCTGTGTTTTCTGAAAGACACGGTGGCATGCTCGAAATAAGAGCCAGTTAGATGTTCAGTCCTCTGAAGGACCAACCGAAACAAGCAAGAATCGCTATAATGATACAGCGTGAAGGGTGCTAATATCTGGGAGGTTTTTTCACTGTAAGATGAGCGAATACCATATTTCACGGACTACAACTTAACGAGTAACCCATCTTCAAAGGGTTACAATTTTCAACAATTTCTGACCCAGTTGCTTCGTTAACGCGTCGTTTGGATTGGATATTCTTGCTTTTTTACATACACATAAATCTAAAGCAACAGTTTTGCTTTCGTACCAAATGTACAACCTGGCTTATGTGTGTCTTCAATACGATTTAATTTCATTACATTTATTCTGTGACGTTTAGCCTTTAGCCACTTGTGGACCCGGGTTATTTCCAAAATGTTAAACTACCAAACGATAGCGATACAAGGGTTTTTTCTTATTAAAATTTTACACTGAACTAGATAGTGAAAGTCTGTCCACTACGTGAAAACAGCGTAAGGAAATTCTATCTGTCGGAAATCACTGAAGAAGAATAAGGAAGTCTGTCGGAATAAATGTCTTGATGTAACTGAAGGCGTTTACGCCCATCGCGTATTTATTGCTGGTGCTGGTGGCGCCCCCTATGAAGTATCTAGTCATCTACAGAATCAAACACTGTCATCTGGCATAGATCGTCGCAGCGGAATGTGTTGGACGTGATTTAGCATATTGGAATAACGTTACGACACGCTCAGTAACAGCTTTATTCTGCCTAAGATTGGCCGCACTGTTATCTTAACAGCACACTATTGGCTAGCGATTATATTGCCTTAGAATACATAAATATATCAAGAAAGTAAACGTTTTTTATAATATTACGAAAATACGCTCATGGTGCAGCTGCAAACACGCAGTAATTGGCCATACAGCTTCAAACTCACGTGCTATCCTTTTATTTTCGCATAAACGATAATTGTATTAGTAATTATTATTATTTCTAGTCATGATTAGACAACTATTTGCCATGAGCTGCAAAACGTGTAATCTGGTTGATTGCGAAGATAATTTAAAAAGAAAAAATACAAAAGGAAATACCGTATAGATTTTTTTTGTTCTTGTACTGCGTTTCGTGACAACCTGTGATTTTGCACTTTGGGCTTCTAAACTTAAGTGTAGAGATAGCCTGATCCAAATGGGATGTTGGCTTAGCTAGTCTAACAAAGCGTGCGCACGGGCGTTTTTATAACGTGAAATGCGTGCTAATAAGCGTCTTATAGTAAATTTGCCATTGACATACGCATCATAATATGAAAGTAATTGTAAGCACGACAAACTTGTCAGTTGTCAAAATCATCGTAGAAAACAAAAGGCATATAAGACGAAAGACACACATGACTACTTAGCTTTTTGGTTGACATGTTATCGAAAAATCGATCAATCCGAAATGGCTTTTTGAGACTAAACCTTATTGTTAAGTAACGTGGTAAGCTTAAATTTACTATGAGGACTGTTTACCGTCTGTATATTTCACAGCGACGTATTGCGAAGATAATAACAACCGGAAATGCTGTAGGTGTCACTTCAATAAGATTATCTAATACTATAAAATAAGGTTGTCGTTATTTTTACATTTTTTATTATTATCGCCATGGTCTACCTCCGATGAAGTTGGTTTCACACGTTCATGACTGATGAGAGGCATATATCACTAAGTTACAGCCACGCGAGTTTACGCATATCTCACTGGATGCCTAGGCAAGATAAACCTAACAAGACTATTAAGACTGCCTACTTACTATTAATCACGATCTTCGATCTGAGTGTTACCCGAGGCGCGTGACCCTGTCTTTTCCCGATTACAAAGAAGAAAAGTAGCTCGTCTATCCGGGATCACCTTACTTTAGATCGTGGAATTTGAGACCGTCGGGATCTCTAGAAGAGAGAATTGTCACCTCTCTGCAATAGTCGCTTCATTGATCGAAACCCAATGTCGTCAAATGTTGCTGCTCCACTGCGAGTGACCCAACGAAATTACGAATATTAAATCCCCGCTCAGCCTACTTCCTACAGCCAACTTCGTTTTAACACAAACACTAACCTTTCGCAACGGCTACCAAATTGCAATCATCAATTAATTTCACATCGATACGTGAGACCCATGCTAGAAGCGGCATTTCTTTTCTTTTTAGGTACCCGCGAAACGAAGCCATCCCCTGAAAAACCCATTTTCAGCCAATTACTCTTTAGCCATCGCAACGGGTCAGTGGGGTTAGGTGACAAGCGTTCGCTTCCCTGTCTTCTTTGTTCCCACACTTCAGTCTTGTTCCTCTCTCCCTGCTGTTCTTTTAACGAGCGGGGCCCGCCGGGTGAGTGGGTGCCGCTCGGGTCCAACGTGAAATTCTATCGAGGCTTTCATTTTGCGCTTGTAGTTATAAAATGTCCTCGTCAACTTTGAAGTATATTAAAACGTTGCTTAACATCAGAATCAACTGGGACTAGGAAAATGTTTCGCTTTTGATTTGAAAGATCGGCACTGCGGGTTAGGTCCGCTTGTAACGATTAGGCGAACAACAAAACGAGATCGGGCAAAAATAATATTTTGATATAAAGGATGGTGACGGGCGCAAAGCAAAAATGGCGACTGGCGGTATTAAGAAAAAGAACTCCCATGAGAACTTGTTGGATATTTTCAAGGAGAAGGACGTGTGATTGCCGGTGTTCTTAACCTCCTCGTAGTAGCAGAACGTTCCTAATAGAGCATGCATAAACCTTTCAGAGGTACTGATCATAATTCCCTGATGATTCATATCACGGACTTGAGTCAGTGGTAGGTTCACATTATCGAGGAAAAAGGAAAAGTTCCGTAGGAACAAAAACTTTCCAAACAAGGCCATTCTTCTATTAAATAAAGAGTCGACTATTTTTCTTTGTTTTGTTTGAGGTAAATTATGCTACGATTTTAGTAGAAATATCGTATCTGGCTTCACTTCGTTTGAAAGCTTCAGGTTTAGTAAAAGGTTGCCGGTACCTTGAATTTATAGATGACTACAATGTGTCCCGTACATTTATGTAAACTACAGGTATAAATAATATACTTGCAAGAGAACTTAGCTGGAGTCGTACGTTTTGTATGCTTGGCCTTAGAGTTGTATGACCTTTGAGCCACTAAGTAAATAAACGCTATGTAAAATCTCTTCTCCTTGAGTGTGATTTTTACGCTTCTTCTGCATACACTAGACTCGTTTCGTTGGTCGGGCTCAAGTCGGCTTCCGGTCAACGTTATACGAACGTCCGTGAATCGAAAACGGACCCTCACTACAGGACAAACAATACCAGCAGCAATGCCTGTTGAATATTTCTAGCAAACGAGCAGGCCTTCATTTTCGTCTTGGCTTCTCATAGTCAACATTCATTTCTTCGGTTATGCCAGAAAGGAAACTTCTTGCCATTAATCCACTATGTAAGAGTTCTTTCTCTATCGCACGTAACGCGTTCGGCCAAGTGTATGTAGACGTGCATATGAATCAACTAAATGCAATTTGTTTTTTTACGTCGGCCGTTTTTTTATCGGTGCACTTTTCTGCTACCAGCCTGTAAAGTGTTGGTCACCAGTGTACTTACTAGGAATCTAGCTGCAGCGCATTCTATATTCTCTTGCAAAGCGTATATACTCACACAAACAGATTCAATGCGTTTTCTACTTCTTAGCTTCGATTGTCGGTAGTGGCGTCCATCGGCGTCGTCGACGTATCGCTTCAGGCACTTCCAGAGCTCACGGAAACAAAGCTCGCAAAAGCTCAAGTGAGATGAGTGACGGCAGGAAGACTGAAGAAGGCACGGCCGAAGATGCATCACATTGAAGGCCCACCGTTACGACGCCGTCATGTATCCAAGATAGGAGACGCTTTTGATGCCGCCGCACGCTGTTGTTTCACTGCTGCCAGTGAACGTGATGGAAGTCTCGGATCGGCGTAAACTAGTTGATGAGATGGTTACCAATTCGTCGTCGTCATCATCATCATCATCATTCAACGATCGACCAAACGAACGAAGAAGAATCGAATTTCGAATTTGCTGAGCCCGGAAAGCTGCCGCTTCCTTGATGTTGAAGCTACCATAGTATTGTCTTCTTTCTGTGCCTCGTCATCTCTAGCCTAACCGGCTTGAGATAGCTACAAAATAAGCTATAGGCGTTGTGGAGCTGTCTCTTTGCGCCACCTCCAAGCTCCGTTTGAGTCGTGGACTTTAGGGGCAAAAGGATAGACCCGAGAGAAGGGACAAGAAGTGAGTAGCGCAAAAAAGAGCAATGCGGGTGGGGAAAAAGAGGCGCTGTGGCAGCGGCGGTGGGGGGGGGGGGGGGGTTAACACCCGTCCCTTCGCGCGACTGAATGGATGAGTCGGGTTATTGTTGATGGACTTCAGCGAGTTTCACGTTTCTACGCCCCTCCCTACGTAGCTTGGTAGAATTTTTTTTTTGTTTTCCATTTTTTGGCTGATAAAAATTGAGAAGGGTACGGGGCTTTGTTGCACAACGACATGTGGGCTTGCGCGGCTCGAAATGGAGTATTTTTGCACAGTATTTGAATCGTCGGTGTGCAGACGAACTTGTCCCTCTTTATAATACGCGCGGACTGCAGAAACTATATGGTGCAGCGTTGTGTACTGTTGACCATGCGAGTGTGTAAAGTATAGGCTATATCTATACGCAATATAATATTGTTTGTGTTATGGGTTTAACGGAGTTGTAGGTATTAGCTTGTTTCACTCCTAAACTGACAACAAAATTGGTAGCTGATTCTACGGTTTGAGAAGAATGTCCAGCTTGTAGTTTTTGTGCCGTCGTGGCCACGTCACGTATCATTGGAATCGCGAATTTTCTGGGTGTTTCTAAGTTCTACAGAGGATTTGTGAGCGTCCACAAGACCGCCTAAAGAAAGACGTAACAGGGTTGAAATTTACTTCGCTTTACGTTCATCGTTCCATCGTAGAGACGCACCATTCTGGAACAGACAGACGTCTGTTCCTCGTCCTCGCCCGGTTAGCTCGGCACATTTAGCGAGTCTTGCAGAAGTAGATCCAAAGCTCCAAGTGGACGGAGAAAAAAATCGAAACAAAAATGTTCAGAAAAGGTTGAGCCTCGTGGAGATTACCCCTGATATTTTTCAGTCAGAGTCTTCGAACGTATCGCGTACGATTGCAATTGATCGTGAAATGTCGGCTATAATAATGCCAGATGTAACGATTCTTTCTTCGGGCGACACAATTGTATGCTGTCCGCTAGCACGTATCTTTTTTGATACATTGGTTTTTCCACTGGCTTTTTCGAATGTACGTTGGCTCCCCCAAACGTCACTTGGAAACGTTCTGGTTCTAGTACTCGCAACTGTAAGGACACTATCAAACCATAAGTTCTTCTCTGATGAAAGCAGGGATCGAGACTGTGAACTCACGTCTAGATTGAATTTTAGAGTAACAGGTAATTTGAATGTTTTTGTATGATTTGAAATGTTTATGGGTTGGACATTTGTTGAGAAGAACGACACCACAATGAATGCTGATGACCCCGGCGACCATCTTAGCAAAATCGCCCCTTCTCTAGCCTTCGTACTGTGAGAACGTTACGATGACGTTGTGCCTTCTTCTTTCCGACGATGACTACTACTACTACTACAGGAGGAACATCGCGCCCTAAGAAAGATAGAGAGAAAAGTCACAAGGCAAGATTTCCTGTGGGGCCATGTTAGGGGCACTGCGCATTAGGTTTGGCGCCTTTGCCTGTCGACAATGTAACCGCATTACTGTCACGCTTTAGGCGCTCTTTTTTTAACCACATCCGTCATTCCCCATCCCCTGTTAACCTAAGGGCAAAAAGATCATCCGAAATGATTCTGAAAAGCAATATGGGGAAAACGGGCAGATAGTGACACGTCAATATGAAGTGGGTTCCACCTCAAAAAAATGGAGCCGGCCAGATTAATAAAACAGTATAAAAAGGCACTCTCTCACAGATTTACAGTCGTACGTATGCCACCACTTTTCCCGCTGAATGAAAAATAACATAGCTGTATGGCAGACACACGGGCCCAACGAAGAAAGAAGGCCGATACTAAATTTATACCGTTCGATCCTGTGCACGGTGGTCGCTGTCAGTTTGAAAGCTATGGTCTGCGATTTTCTAGGGTTAGACAGGTATATGTTTCAAATTGCTTAATGTTGATAAACGATTATTTTACAAATAGACTACTTTGCATTTATTTTTCTGATACTTGTTACCACTCTTGACGCTATGCGTGTAGTTTTGTAAGCATTAATATATAATCGATGGAGAGCTATATCGCGTCGTGTATAATTTTCACCAAATATGATATATTTCTATAACTGCATAAAGCGAGTCCCAAACAAAAAACTTGATTTCTACATTCAATGTGATGTCTTCTATTGTTAGTCTCAAGGCTCCGATTTGAGCCTCAACTGAAGTAATCAATCTAATAATATTTTCCGTGGATTTTGTAATGCCGCGTACGTCACTATCTTGCTTGCTTATTTGAAGGTTGAAGCGTGTTCCAGGTAGAAGAGCAATCGCTCATTCCAGCCATTCAAATTAAATATAATTTAATATTGTATTTAATAAAATTGTCGCTAATAATAACATAGTACTATGTTATTATTACTTTCACGATTTAAGAGCTTGTCAACAATTCTCAAATTACCTTCATTAAATATTATGCCCTGTAGGAAACGTCAATGATAATAGCATAGTAAGTCTCTAAATATGTTGAATTTCTCTAAAATCCCAATGAAGTCGTCTATGAAAAAATGAAGTTTAGATTGCTAGCAGCTAGTACACAGTCTGCGTGCGTCAGCAGCGATTACCGTAACAGAGTTTGGCATCACTTTGATACGGTGCAATCAAACGTCGCTTTGACCTGATCAAGATTCCAAATGTGTAAACCGATAACTGAGACACAACATACGATTTACCTTGGTT